CTGCCTTCGACTATAATAGAGGACACGGCCTGGAAACCAGTCCCATACAGTAACCCTTTCCCCTCCGCCTCTAAACCTTCGACCTTGCAACCCTAGGAGGCAGGAAGCCATGTCCGTGTCCCCTTGGTTCAAGAAAGAATCCTTAAATGTCATCTATTCTAATAATGCATTGCCTATTTAGAGTCATTTTATCTGTCACGATGATTCTTATCCCTCATTGAATGTACTGAAATAATGTTTTTGTAATAAATTAAAGAAAAGTATATTACTCGCCAAACAAGCGGGCCAACGTCCGCGAACTGTCAGTGGCATCACGTGGCACAGAAGTTCTTCTATCTGGGAACATTGTCCTGCATTTCGGGCAAAATATGGAATCAAAACCACAAGAGACAGGGACCTACACAGTATGAGACACATGCATTTATAGCGTATCAATGTCCATGGCTAACGATTTTAAGGACGCATGTTTATGCTGCAAAGCAAGACGGTATGCCGACCCACGCAAAACGCACCAACGCCACCAACGTCCACAGACACCAATACGCTCCCTTGATGGATGTTTTTTTTTCCCCGCCATGCCTGCCAAGCTCAGAATTATCTATACTCTGGTCGATTGCAAGGTTCTAGTGGGAAAATTGTTAAGAGGATTGGAACCACCTGGACTAATATACCACAAAAGAGAGGGGACATATTGCCCCAACAACTGTACCACACGACGATTAGCATATGGAGTTCCATTCATCGTTTTTCTGCTAACAAAAACAACAACGCTACTTTAGCTACGGCCATATGCGGGTGTTCTCCTCTCATCAAACACCGCTCAGTGGACTGTACTTTTGGTCCACCTGCAACACAAGTGATGGTCACACCTACATACTGCCTATACTGCAAATGTGGTGACAAACGTTCCTTTTCCAGTGGCCAAAGAGTAGCGTCCTTAGAGTTAGCCTTGAGAAAACAATAGGTAGCCAACTCTTAACTCATCCTGCCTAGAAGTGAAATACGTATGATTCAAATACTAGACAAACTGTGACACATTTATGTTCAATCCCGTTCATATACATCCTATAACAGTACAGACTTTGCAGAAGGGATGGGTACCTCTGGATTTATCTACATCATTGTCGAAAAAGGTGATACAGCTACTCACATTGAGTCCTATTAACTTACAATAAAAATCAGAAATCACCAAATTCCTGTGGATACCGAAGCTAAGGCCTATATATAGCAGCTAGAGAAAAGAACTTCGACATTGCTTTTCTCATTGTCGACACCCCGCCCCATTACCCACTATAATATTGCTGACTTGAGTGGCTATATCAAGCACTTGAAAAGATCCCACAAGGAGGGTTTACATGGCGAACAGCCACCATCTCTAGGCTAGGCTATAGGATGATCTCTAATCACCTGGCCTTGGATGTGAATTAAGTTGATTGAAGCCTGGAGAAACTGTGGCCATTTATGTTTATGGCGTTTCAGTGGTACATCCTATAACACTGCAGACTTGCAGAGGGGATAGGTATCAGTCTGGTTTATCACATCAGTGTTCGAAAAAGTGATACATAATTGTTTTTATTAACTTATCAGTAATCAACCTAAAATCCTGTGGATACCTTAGTGGCTGGACTAAGGTCAAGATGCAAAGACAGACACTGTAGGCAGAACTTTGCAGCATGAAGTTATTTCTTTAGGCACAAAGAGCGGCGAGATACAATGTCATGCACAACTCGTACTGCTGTACAGCGCAGTTACTACAACACGCTCGCGATACGCTTACAGGAAATTTACCCTTAAAATTAAAACCCCGGGAGCGCAGGAGGACGGAGGTGTTTCTCAACTGCAAGAGCGGCTCAGGGGTGGTGCGTTAACCAAACAATCTTATCAAAATGTTATGTATCATTATTAACTCAAATACGTGGCAATTCTCATGCAAAGTTCGCGCGAGTGGAGGCGTATTTCTCTTCTGTCCTTTTAAGACAACTCCGTGGATTTCGTACATTATAAAATCATCACCAAACAATAATATACCATAATTTGAAACCATTTTGCATAAGTAACCGTCTCACATATATGATATTTAATATTATTGTAATCGCTTACTCCATTGTCGACGTTTTTAGGGTCGCGTTGTGGGACAAACTGGCCATGTTTTGGAGAATCAGTAAGTGACATTCGTGTGACATTACTTCAATCATTATTGTTCAGTGTATAACGATTACATTATCCATGCCAGGCTCTCCGCGAGCTACTAGCGTAGAGACCACGAGTATACACATACCTAAAACCCCAGCCCATCAATTTGTGGTACCGCGCGTGCACAGTTCGCCGAGGGTTTGATTTTTTGGTGCTTTTAATGTTATACAGTGAGTAATGCGCTACAGTGAATGTTGTGTAGTTAATTCCTTAGTATCTAGTACAGTACCCGTCTGAAACAAGGTATAACGCGTTTCGCGTGCGAACGCGTTCGAACAAGGCGTTTGCTCCACGTGTGAAACGCGTTCGCACGAGGACCAAAACGCGTTCGCTTGGCGTGATAAACGCGTTCGGGTCCCGCCCCACGTGCACGCAAATTTGAGCCTTTACTAGAGTGCATACGGTCAGGCAAATGCGACTGGACCTGCAAACCTACGACACTAGCCTTGATCCCCTCCTTTTCCAGCCCCTTTTTAATTTTGGAAGGGGTGAGCCTTTCTCTGTGAAAGAATAGGATTCTTATTTGAGGTCCTCACTGGGTACGGGTCGGAGTCGCCGCCGTGGTACGCTATGCCACACCCTCGCGCGACGCACACATGGCACGGCGGACAGTATGTACATGTACATACGAACGCGCTCGCTGGGTTACAACCAGCGGCCCAGCCAGATCCTCCTGACGATGAGCATCGCCGTTCCATCGCCCAGTGCTGGTGAATAGTGCGCACCCGTGTTTTTACCGTCACCCATGTACTATCACGGGGCATTCAAGGCCAACCACGAGCCAAAGTCGTTAGTCATTGTCGAATGCTTCCACATTCATAAACGAGAACAAGCTGCTGGAGAATCGATAGCCGAATATATCGCCGAGCTCAGATGCCTAACCGCCAAGTGTGTGTTGACCAAACACTTGGATGAAGTGCTCCGGGACTGCTTCGGAGGGAGGCAACCCAGAAGAAGATACTACCTGAAAGCGACAAAACGATTGGCAAAGCCGTAGCAATCGCGTAGAACATGGAGGCGGCACAAAAAATACTCAAGCCATGAAAACTGTTGCTCCCGTTGTAGGCCAAGTGGTACTGGAAGAGCACGAGCGGGAGGACACCAACCCAGTACAGCCTGGGCATTCTCACGGTAGTGAAAGGGAAGGGCCCGACCTTCCTACGGCGTGACTGGCTTAGCTGTATAAGGCTAGACTGGGCAGCAATAAGGAGAGTATGGCCCAATGGAGTCTTGGACAGTAAAAGAGCTGCTAACTCAATATGCGGAGGTGTTTTCCAAGACCACAGGTACTATGAAACACATCAGGGCCAACCTTACTCCGCGAGTACATCCACCACGTTTGGTCCCATATGCAATTCGGGATATGGTGGGACGTGAGCTAGATCGTTTAGAAGAAGCAGGAGTTCTCTAGAAGGTGAACGATGCAACTTGGGCTGCACCCCTTATTTCAGTACCAGGCATCGGCCGCGTTGACAGACCACACCTGGCCAACGCCTGCCGTCAGGGAAGGGGACTCCACAGACCTTGGCCATAAGTGGTCAAGAAACTCCTCGCACTGGAGTTGGTTATGAGCGAACTCCAGGAGGACATCTGGCCAGAGGAACCCGTCTCACCAGACACCGGTAGCACCCCCCACTGTCCCAGCAAGCCGCCGGTAAATACGCTCCGCTCCTAGCTGGAGTGCTATGGCCGAATGGCCGCCATCCTAACGTCCAGATTCCAGGAGAAGGCTGCTGAGCTCGGGGTATACCAAACAACCATCATTCACGCGGCTCACACATACAAAAGTTGGAACTGGGTCACATACTACTGCCACGAGATGCTGTGAGTAGAATGGGCAAAACATATTTGTAATTATGCCTGTTAGCACTGCGCAATTTATGATGTTTAACGGAGTTAAACGCAGTTAACACCGGGAGGATGGCCAGCCGGGGCATGCATTGCGCATGCCCGCGTCGCCACGGACGCGCGTACGCGAGCGTATGAATAATAACGGAGAATCCGAATATGGGGCAGTCTGCAGATTTCGCAGGCAAGCGAGCTGTCAGCTTTCGGTCGTCAGTCACTGAGCAACCACCATGACCGATACAGAAGGCACGTCTCCGGGAGAGGAGCCTCCGCTGACCCCAGAGAACTTCGCCTGGCGTCGCCCTGGAGACCCCGCCGACGACCCGGGAATCAGACCACCGGGGAGCGACCCATCGTCGTCGGGTGAGTGGTTGTCTTGTCTAGCTAGCGGGCGCGCTTTAGCCGTCGCAAGCCACGTGGCACAAACAGTAACAGGGCTCGCTTCGAACGACCCCCCTACTCTCCCCCTGTTCGACCCGGGTAGCGCGACGGTCAACGGCCTGAGGATCTTGGCCGACGTGGCGGCCGCAGCCAAAGGGAGAAACATACTACCGCAGGCACTGTTGCCTCTACTGACTCAGCCTGGGCCGTTCAACCCAGCCACAGCACTCTCTGCGAAGATCGCGAAGAAGATTCTTGATCTCGAGTTCGTGGAGATGTCGGAGGTTACGGTCGACGACGTCCTCCCAGCGGTGCCCGGCCGTCCCCCACCTCCGGCCCTCCTTCCCATCTCCGATATGTCGCAGTGGGTTGAGCGGTATTCCTTGATGGCAGCCATTCTGTGCTCTAAGTACCCCGAGAAGGCGGGCAAGCTCTTCGCCTACCAGGCGTCGATCATCCGCACCGAGATAAATTACGAGGAAAACGATGGGTGGCCTACAACCGCTAGTACCGCAGGCAGGCCTTCCTCTACCAATTTGTATCTTTACGCCACCCATCCGCTGGCGGAAAGGAACCAAGGACCTTGTGTTGCACTGTGTCTGCTTCAGCGGTTGGTTATTAAACGCACAGCAGTTACGGAGAATGAGCTGACAGCTGGATTCACACCATCCGATATTTTAGCTGAAGCAAAGGATATGAGCTCTGAGCTTGGGCCTGACGATGAGGACGGAATTCTTCAAGAATATGTCCAGGAGGTGGAGCAACTAAGAATGGAGGTTGCAGAATTGCGCGCTGAGCAACTAAGAATGGAGGTTGCAGAATTGCGTGCTGCGTTCACGAGCCCCTCCGGACAAAGAAGGCTCATGACCCCCTCAAGACTTTTCCCATCTGAACGCAAGAGCAAGAGGCCCCGACTAAACTGAGGGAATGGAGGAGGGAGAAGAGGGAGGGGGAGTCCACAACTTGGTACACTTGCCTGTGACTATTATATTATGCACATCATGCTTCACCGTGGTCTACTGAATATTAATACTTTCCCTGTTATTGTGTATGAATGGTTGTGTAACAAATTATTGAGCCTAAGTTTTGAGCTCAGGCTTTCCATGAAGAGTGCCACACACATTCTTTCAGAGTGCCAGTGCTTTGTGACTACGAATTCTCGTGTGGAGTGCATCACTCAGACCTCATTGTCTCTCTTCTGCGAGCTCAGACCTCATTATAATGCACAACGAATATATTATACAGAAAATTACACATGAATCCGTGGTGATCGAAGCATGTGAGGGGTGATCAGGCATAAACAGATAATAAAAAGCTGCTGTTAACACTACATCACATACGTAACGAATAACACTGATTTTCATTAGACGGCGAATGCCGGTCACAGTTTCGAGGTCAAGTTCCTCTAGAAAGAACATCTTCATTGTTTCGTCTTCCAAGACCAAGACTTTTGGCAACACCTTGCCGCCCTTCACCTCCAACCCAAAGCATAACTGTGAGGAGAGACCGAGCTACATCAACTGTGTAGCAGAATTAGAGAGTAACGAGGAAGGGCTGATGTGCGGTGACAGCGACAGTAAAGTTATATGTAAGCATAATACATACACAAGTACATGGTACATTACATACACATGTACATAATATGGCTTGTGTTTGTGTTTATCTCTGTAGATGTCAAGTGAAGCCCCAGCAGCCCTTCTCACACTTCTTTCTTTGTATAATAGTATGTAAGCAAAGCGCACACACACACACATAATATTACTAATGGAAATGCTTGGCATTCTTTGGGCGAGCGGAGCTAGAACTCAAACGTATATACAACCATCATCATTACTAGCAATAATATAGCTACGTACCTACAGGTAAAATGTTTCAGCAAGTATAACAGAGGTTATTATGGTGTTGTCATACCAGGTTGTGTAAGGCAGCTTGCGCATACTTCGCTAGTGAAACTAGACCAGAAGAAAGTAGCAACGGAAAGGTAATGTGCCGGCTCCCCTTCTCCATCTCTTAATCGTCGCTGAAAAGACAAGCCTCTCTGTCGTGAGGACTTTCGACGGCCGGGTGTTCTGTCTGTCTACCTCTTGGACCAGAAGCAGTATCGTTGTTTTCCCCGCTCAAGATCTCGTAATGGTCCCTGAAAAGACCAGCCTCTCTGTCGCGAGGACTTTCGACGGCCGGGCATACATAGATAGAAAATTCGAGCCGAAGACACGATTCTCTGTAACCCTCGCATGCGCGCCGAGGGTTAATAATGCGAGTATATTATACGCAACCCTAGCGGTGAAGAACCTCAACTGGTCGGTACCCAACCAGAGGTTCTACCGTGAGGCCTTGAAGGGGAGAGACAAGAGGCACCCACAGAGTCATGAGTTTCGAAGCCTCAAAATCCCGTGAAGCCCCACAAAGGGGCTAACAACCCAACTATTTTTTGCCTCGCTTTTTCACGTGGCAGGGATAAGCATGAAATCGCACGATCGCTTGGTCCGGGTGTGTGAGTAGGCATTTTCATGCGTAATAACGTGCATTATTTACGCGCAAACACACATTGATTTCTCGCAATCATGTGAAGCTTTCCGCCCGGGTACTATTGACGGCGGGGCATGCTGGGGGAGCATGCACACAAGGTCTGCCGACCAATTCAAAATCTTAAATGAAAAACACTAAAGTGCAAACGCTCGGCGAACTGCACACGCGGGTACCACTAACCAATGGGCTTGGCTTTTCATGTGCGTTTACTATGTTTACTTGCGGTCTCCACACTAGTAACTCGCGAAGAGTGTGATACGGTCTAGTTACAGTAGTAGGTAGCACGCGGGAGTCGATACACGCCCTTCGTTGTGACTTCTTACACAGAGCAAGCGCACCAGGTAAGCCTGTGCTAATTGAATATTGTCTTGTTCACTTGGTTTTCACACCATAACTTCTGAACGCGGCACTTTTACGAAAATTACCACATTAAAAATAAAGCCAGTGTAGTGCTGAACCTGTTGGTGTCGCTATTTTACCTGTTAGTTGCGCATGGTGGCAGAAAACGTGGTAACAGACGAAGAGACGGACAGACTGACGAGAGACAAATGAAGTACTGTAAATCTCGCTGCACATGCGCACCGAGGGTGAAGGGCAAACCCTCGGCACAGAACCATGTTCCTGCAGCGTCTATAATATAATAGCTACTTCACCCACACTTGGAATTTGCTAAAACAAAAAGAGGATAGCTATAGACATAAAAAAAGTGGTGTAAAAAGATATGCCCACAAGAATCAAACTCGCAGTATCCGATGGCAGCGAGCGAAAATCCGTTCGACAACTTTGAGGCTCACGAAAGAGCTGCACTGCACTGCACAAGCCACTGCAGCACTTTTTATCGATAGCAGGCATTGCTGATTGTTCCATTTTCACCACAGAGCTAATGTAGGTATATACTTTCCAGGCAAGACCGAGTAAAAGCTGCCTTGACCTGTCTTGGTCATCCGAAAGAAGGTGTGGCAAGACTTTGACGCGAGAGACACGCATGGTGACACGTAGCATGTACGCTGTAAAATACGCGCACGTGACGAGTTTCCATATGCAGAGACAAACGGGTCCACTCACAGTGACAAACACGACCACACGGAGCGACAAACGCGTTCTCACGCTGAGACGAACGTGATCTCACGCAGCGATGATTGTGTTTTCACGCGAAGTCGAACACGATTGCAACTCAAGTTTGGTTTTACTTACTTGGTTACAACAAAACAGTCATGTTAATGAGTTGTACGTACAATATTTACGTACCTCCAATTTATAGTGTCCCATAGCAATGAAGTAGAAATGGTCTCTCTGGTCCTTCCCCTGACTAATATCACCTGGTTACACAATACAAAGTTAAACATAAAAACAGAAGGACGCAAGAAAGGGTCGGCCACAGAGTCCATGGTTTTCTGGGTTGACTGTGACTCCTGTGGCGAATGGACCCACACCCACTGTGCCTTGATACAGCTACACCTAACTTAATTTGTTTCTCCTGCACCAATTTTTTCACCATTCTTCTCGTTGTATTTTTGACTTATGGCAGTGTTTTGGCCGTTGGTGACATTAAGCGCCGGGTACGTATTATCGCCACTTTGCATTTGTTGGCAAGCGCAGTGCACTAGTCGTCCAGGTTATAGCGCACTTATAACTACTGTAGGTATGGCTAGTTATGCGCAGAGCTAGTACGTTAGTTGAGCGTCATTGCTTGGCGCAGCGTGGCAAATGGACCAGAATGTGGCGATAATAGCGATAATAGGCAGATGTACGCCTATAGCTAAAGCAGTTATAGCTACACAGCGCTTGGAGGAGTGGCGTCACCCTTGAGAGCATTTGGCAATGACCACAAATTTACGGACCTCCAAGCGCAATAGGACACAAATAACAATCGGCAGCCTAGTCCTGGGGGGGGTGGCCTATGACATGACTAGGAGGCCCAGTACCTGTTGTAGGCGCACATGCGCATAAAAAAAATACACTTGCCCGGGTGTGTACTCCCGACTACCTCCTTTCTACACATGGTGAGGCCCCAGCCAGAGGGTGTGTGCCTGGCAAAGCTACGTACATACGTGCGTGTTAACCTTGATGTGCCACCCTTACTGCTATCAACGTGCATCTAAACACTAGTTGGCTAGGGAGATCTACTCTCTGTGTAAAAGACGTAAATTCACTGCAACCGTATGTGATTGACACAAGCTCAGTTTATTTGACATTGTCTGACGTGGTAACTCACTCTCCATGAGTCTGATGCCCTTCCTGATGTCATTCTTGAAGCCACTCTTGATGAGGTACACTGCATACGAGAACTTGACCTCATCACTGGCCCCTCCATCTGCCACCTGCTGCTTGTACTGTCTCTCCACCTCCTGGACATACAGTACCACCAGTGCATCACCGAGAGGTTTTGCGCAAAAATACAGTACAGGATACACGTTGTAGAGTAGGTGGACCGACCATTTCACTCACCTCTATTGCCTCCACTGGCACGATGTCCCCAATGACGGCTGCTTCTATCTCCTTCAGAGGTTGCACACTTCCACCGCCTCTTGCTGCCATTTTGCTCTATGTATAATTATGCACGCGGTTCCGTTGCTGATTCAGCACTTGTGTTTTTCCAAATAATGCCCATCTCTCACTGACGTCACTGGCGTTTAGTGTCTGTCGCTCTCCGCTCCTCCTATACAGACCACCAGAAGCTGAGGTGGGCTGTGGTCTGCGACATAAAGCTTATAGAGATGGCCGACATTCAAGACAAGACCAAGCTGGGTGCGTGATGTGATGTATAGCGTGTTTTGTACAAGTTTACTCGGCACGCAAACCAAACCGAGTAACTCGTGTGCATTTTTGCCTTAGGCTCACCTAGCCCCGGAAGCTCTCCACGGCTGGCTCGAAAGGAGGCCAGCCCCACACCCTCAGGAGGAGGGGGAGTGAGTCCGTTCTCACAGCGGAAGAGAGAGGCAGAAACACTCCAGGAGGCTATCACTGCCACAGCCCTGCCTGGAGATCCACCTCTACTTCCAGGAGAGCTTCTGAGCTTCATTGGTCAGTGTAAATATGCAACGTACTAGGCTGTGGAACACACAGTAAACATGTGGCAGTATAATGGTTTCTGGTTTCTGTAACTTTTTGAATGCCAACCCTAGACTACCAAAAAAATGTTGCAAGCTGTGTGTACTTTAGTGCATTGGGTAAACTCTGCAGTAGCAGCCCGTTGGCATAATGCCTTTGAATGGCTAAGACAACATTTCGTGATTTTAAGAAATTTTTTGGTCCCCTCTGCCAAGACACAGCTGTAACACATGCATTCGGACCTTACTCTACACTTTGATTTTTTCAGCCCATGACATCACCTACCTCGACCCATTTCTGGGTGCCCGAACTGGAAGTCTCTACATCACTGACTACAAGATGTACTTCAAGTCTCCCAGTGATGACAAGGCTGTGAGTGTCTCTCTCTCTTTACTTTTTCCTCTTCTCTCTTCCTTCCCTCATGTTTACCAACTCCTTATCTTGTGGTGTGTACACATGTGTGGGAATGCTCAAAGGCTGGTAGGGAAATAAGCGTACTTGACTATGCATGCACCTTTTCAATGAACCCCCAATGAAACAATTTGCCAGTGAATGCATCTTCTTATCTTTGTCCAGCTTGCATGGTTGCCAAGGAATCTTTTGGCCTACAATAACGTAATTCGATCACTGAATTTACATGGAAGGTAGTAGAAGCACCTGTATTTACAAGTACGTACACATAATCAAATGCTAGGTAAAAGTGTACCATCTGGAGCATGTCTTCACACAGCTGTAAATAGGCCGTACGTTTGGCAGAATCACTGTTCTTACATACTGCCTGTCTCACAGTAGATATTGCCAATGCGCGAAACGTTCCGAAGCGTTTGTGTGGCCATTCCTTAATTTCATGTGTATGTACACTGTGTGTTTTAGGAGGAGTATATTCTGCATGTACCTCTTGGAGTCATCAGCCATGTGGAGAAGATGGGTCGCTCCAGGAGCAAGGGAGAGAATGCCTACGGTCTAGAGATCTTTTGCAAGGTTGTAACTCATGCCTGCCTCTGTTACATGTGCATCTTGCACGTTTTTCACTACTTTCAAAGCCTAATTTGAGACTGTTAGTTTTCACTTTACCTACATCTAAAACCGCTTATTTTGAGAGCAGTGAAAGTTACTGAACCTTGGTGTGGGTTGCTTGCTGCAGTTCATGTGATGGTTGTAGTCAAACTGTATGTGTTTACTGCAGGATATGCGGACACTCAAGTTTGCTCACAAACAGGAGACCCATGGCCGAAGGGGGATGTACGAAAGACTACAGGTCACACTACCACTGAAACAATAGGCCAGCCATGATAGACATAACCAGTAACAAACATAAAGATCCCTTTACTCTAAATGCTACTCATTACATGAAAGTTTTTCCTATTTCTCTAGATTGTCTCATTTCCCATCAGCTATGGCAAGAACCCATTTGCCTACAGTTTCAAGCAGAGCTACCCGACCAATGGCTGGGAGGTGTATGATCCTGTCAGGGAGCTAAAGAGACTGGTCAGTACAGACATGTATGTACAGTGCATATGTACCCTGTGCATCCCTAATAATATAACTAATGAAAAGCACTAAAGTACAAACCCTCGGCGAACTGCGCATGCACGGTACTGCTAATAATGGGCTGGGCTATTAGTATGCATTTACTCGTGGTCTAGTCTGACGAGTGTACATAGTAGTGAGGTATGCGTGAGTCGATACTACTTTCGTTGTGACTTCTTGTGCCTTCAAAATACACAGAGCAAGCAGACCCGGTCAAGGTGGGCCTGTGCTTTAGCATATTTGCTTGTTCACTTGGTTTCCACGCCATAACTTTAGAACGCAGTACTTTCACCATTTTAAAAATGAAGCCAGTGTAGCGCTGAACCCGTTGTTGTCACTCTTTTGCCGGTTTGTTGCGCGTGGTGGCAGAAAACGTGGTAACAGACACACAGGACAAGTACTGTAACCCTCACTGCACATGCACGCCAAGGGTTAACAGCCACGCTTTTGTATGGGTCAACTTGCCTTTCCCTCATGAAGTTTACAAACGTAAAGAGAGCAATCTGACCTATGTATGTATGCACACCACTTTTTGCAAAGACTCATGCATTAGTTACTAGTAGAAAGGCAAGTGTGAAGCCAAAAACTCGGCTGCAGCTGTAGATATGAGAGCTGTTACAGGTGGCAGGGAATTTGTGTGGGTAGATTGCACTCTCCTTGCGAGCAATGTAATGCACATGTTATGAATTGCCTAATGGAGTGTGTTAGAGCCAAACCACTATCTGTGAATACTTATACAGGTTTAGTCTACGCTTGTATGACAGGTGTGATGTACTGTATCTGGCCCTTTGGTAAAGCCACACATTGTATGGGAATTGTTTACAGTTCCCAACTTATACCTAATTATCCACACTTCATCCTCCCACACAATGCACTTTGTTTCTGACAACTAATTATGCTGTATCGTCCATGAATACGTAGCTAGCTACAAGTTTAAAGACTAGCTGTAACATATATACATAAAAAAACACAGTTTAGAATTGTCGTGTTTTTTTTATATGCGTATGTTGTATAAGGAATATGTATACATCTATTAATTGAAGGGAATAATATTGTGTTTAATTTCTCATCTTGTAAACCAAGTTACTGGTCAACTCGGCTGCAGCTGTAGATATTTTCAATGAAAGAGAGCTGTTACAGGTGACAGGAAATTTGTGTGGGTAGATTGCACTCTCCTTGTGAGCAATGTAATGCACATGTTATGCATTGGCTAATGGAGTGTGTTAGAGCCAAACCACTATCTGTGAATACTTATACAGGTTTAGTCTACGCTTGTATGACAGGTGTGATGTACTGTAACCGGCCCTTTGGTAAAGCCACACATTGTATGGGAATTGTTTACATGTTCCCAACTTATACCTAATTATCCACACTTCATCCTCCCACACAATGCACTTTGTTTCTGACAACTAATTATGCTGTATCGTCCATGAATAGCTAGCTACAAGTTTAAGGACTAGCTGTAACATATATACATAAAAAAACACAGTTTTGAATTGTCGTGTTTTTTTATATGCGTATGTGGTATAAGGAATATGTATACATCTATTAATTATATTGTGTTTAATTTCTCATCTTGTAAACCAAGTTACTGCTCAAGCCTAATGTACATGTGTACGTATGTACATACATTATTATACAGAATGAAAATACTGATAGTGTATTATGACACACTACAGTCAGTGGGTGCAGAGAATGTTCCGTGGAGGATCTCAGAGACCAACAGTGACTACAGCATGTGTGAGACGTACCCCACCATCCTGGGGGTCCCGGCCTCTGTCAATGACGAGACTCTGGTCCTGGCCTCCCAGTTCAGGAGCAAGGGACGAATGCCTGTGAGTATTGCCCTCTAGCTGGTGTACAGTATGTATGCACACCACATCTGCACATGGATTGATACACCAACACATGTGCTGTTGTGTTGTGAACCATGTAGTAGAATTCTTTTATGATTTTCATACCCAACGAAGGAACATAGAAGGTCTTTGTTGTTTATGCAAGCATTCCTGACCACTGTACATATACCACTTGTGTACATCTGTGCGAGACTTCCTCTGCCTATACGTATCCCAAGTGTAGTTCAGATTATGCCTGAGATTTCTCCTACTTGCATCAAGGCTGTGTGTATACAGAGCTAATCCTGTAAACAACGTACTGTAGATGTCACAAAACTGTAACCATAGTAAGAGTACGAGGGGTCGTACAATGACTGCATACAGTATGAACTGCATGTTACTTGAACAGTGAGAGGTACTGTAGATGCTACAGTATATATAAGTATCTGTGTCTGTATGCACAAACTAATCTGCATTGTACGCACAACCTGATGTACAGTACAACATATAGTATATCATGTTGTGCACATACACATACCCCTCATGAAGGCTCGTAATAGAACAGTTAGATGTATATATGTATGTACATGTACATGGGTGTTTTTTGTTCAGTGTCACTAGTAGTAACCAACCAACAGGTGTTGTCGTGGCTCCATCCAGTGACCCACGCCTCCATCACTCGCAGCAGTCAGCCTCTGGTGGGAGCATCACGGAAACGCAGCAAAGAGGATGAGGACTACCTCAGTGCCATCCTGAAGGTAGCCACTGCCTGTGTGTGTCCCCCATAGTACATGTCCACTTTCTATTAATTAGTGATGTCATGTCCTATATGTATTTCTGCAATCTCTATTTGTGTGAACCCTGCAGGCTAACAAGTATGGGAAGAAGCTCTATGTGATGGATGCACGACCAAAGATCAATGCTTATGCCAACATAGTGAGCTATTTTCATTGTAATTGGTATATTTGTAACACTTGATCTCTGTCTAAAAGTAGTGTATGAGGTACATAACTGAGTGTTGTGTCCTACAGGCGATGGGGGGAGGCTATGAACTGGACGAGGCCTATCCCAACATGGACTTCAGTTTCCTAGACATTGGCAATATCCACGTCATGAGAGACAGGTGAGCCCCTCCTGGAATCTCTTTATCAGCGGGAGCTAAGGCAGCTGTAGGGCATTTGGTGCAGACAAAACACAGCATTTTGAGGTTGCCCACAAAGCCTCATTTGGAAATGGAGGGAGATTTTGTTCCCAATCTTGCCCCACTCTCATGTTATTTGTTTATCACACTGTGTGAGCGTGCTATCCGTGCTATCGGACTAAAACCACACTACATGCATGTAGTGAACAGCAGAATGTCTAACCAAATATTTTGGCATGGATAGTACCCTAACCTCATTGCTTTACCTTATCTTTGTCCCCTCCCCTTCTTACTGCCTCCTCACTGCAGTCTGAGCAAGCTTCAGGATATCTGCTATCCTGACGTTGATGACCAGAGATGGTACTCCTCTCTCGAGGCCACTCACTGGCTGGACCATATCAAGGTCAGAGATGTATAGAGTGAATATGTTAGTATAGACACCTCCCTATGTACATGTGTTATGCGTTCCTTGTGCATCAAACCACCCCGAACTAGCGCACAACTACCCGACACACCTTGTTCCCCTGGTGTACAGTTCATGCAAAATAAAGTCAGATGGTACTTTTGGCTATTGTTTGTTAAAAACATTACCCATTCACATCCACAAGTTGGGATATGTGTGTTTTACTGTACCTTTTTATTATGATTGTGAACAGGTTTGTATGTACATACTTCCGCTTGTTTGCTTTGCCTTTCTACCTCATTGTTGGCGCATGCTGTTTTAGTGTAGTACTACCTGCCTTCACGTTGCTTTTCCTCTCTGTTCTCCCCTCCAGACGGTGTTGGGTGGTGCAGTGAAGGTGGCAGAGGTGATAGAGAGACAGAGGTCCTCTGTGCTGGTCCACTGCACCGACGGCTGGGACCGCACGGCCCAGCTTACTGCCCTCGCCATGCTCATGCTTGACCCCTTCTACCGCACCATCCAGGGATTCGAGGTAAAAGGCAGGTTTAGAACTACTGTTTAGATTGTGCACAGGTGTGATATCTGAGGGGGTTGGTTCTGTATAGTGTGCGTCAAAGTTTAAATTTGCCCAAATATGAAGTGACCGTTCTGTTCCGTTTGTTCTGCACTTTCCTTTGCGAGGGATGGTGGGGGTGGCCGACAGTAGCAAGTGATGCTATGTACAGCTTTGTGTAGTAGGAGCCAGCCAAAAAGTTGCAGAGGTACATGTTGACAGCGAGCGCAGCTCTCTGCTTTATTTGTTACTAGGAATGCACACACGCATATTTTGCCTCGCGCCTGCCAGCCAATTCGTAAACAGTCCGACTGTGCGCGCGAAGCCAGGCTTCCTACGGATCTGCGCGCAAGGCGGAAATTGACATTCCCTAAGCGTGACTAATCGACGTTCTTAAGCGTGACCGACACGTACGTACGTACGTACACATATCGCGAGAGAATACAACCCGGAGTAGTAGCGTCGCGCTAATACACTCGGCAATAAAACCACCCCCAATTTTACCACCCAAATGGAGCTTCGGGGTTCCTAATGTAATGAAACTGGTCTATGAAACAGAAACTTTCGTGCATACTGTATGTAACAGCACTTCTTCCTTACTGTTCCTCTGTAGATTGTCGTTGAGAAAGAGTGGATCTCATTTGGCCACAAGTTTAGTCAGGTAATATGACATGTAGACTGTACACTTGAGAAGAGTGATATTGGTAATGCTTTTGTGTCACTAAAGAGTTTCACACATACATAGCTGGCGAACCAGTGAAATAATGCAGGTTTTAGTCCTACATATATACAATACAGCCACTTCTTTTTCCCTTTGAAATTCTCCCGCTATATTGATTTTCTGCTGGTACGAAGTGCAATCGCTAACTAAAATTGGTACGCCCTAACGCAATGAAAGGTGCTTAGTAGTAACTCATATCGTGTTTACTTCGGCACCGTTTCCCCGCACAACCCGAACACATTGAAAAACAAGTGTGCATTAATTGGAGAAGTACGTACACGTACCAAGAGAACTACTCGCATTATAAGCGCTCGTGCCCTTCACGTATGTAGCATCCTCGCTGCACTCGGAATGCTACAACGCAAGGGCCCTCGGGCTTCTCACGCATGTAGATTTCCCGGATTCGCTGTCTAACTATTATTTAGCGATTGCATTTTGTACTAGCACTGTAACTCATCTTATGATCTCCTTTATATACTGTATGTATACCGACAGAGGCTGGGTCACGGAGATCGTAACCACAGCGACGACCAGCGAGCTCCCATCTTCCTCCAGTTCATTGACTGTGTCTGGCAGATGACCGTCCAGTTCCCCTACGCCTTTGAGTTCAATGAGCACTTCCTTGTCACCATCCTAGACCACCTCTACAGGCTAGTGACACCTCTCCCGCTGTCTTTTCCTCTATCTCTCTATTTTATGAGTAAGCTTCGTACATGTTTGTTGACTGTGTATAATAGCTTGCTTTTCCAGGGTCTTTGCTCAATTTCTGTTTTTTTTAGCTGCCTTGCTATAATTTTTCTGTATACTGCAGTGCATATGTATTGTTTTTTAACTACAGTTGTTTGTTTGGGACATTCATTGGAAACTGTGAGAAGCAAAGAGAAAAACTGGTTTGTTGTGTGTGTTGAAATTTTGGTGTCGTCTTACAGTTTTGTGTTCTTTTCGGTTACAGAAAGTTAGAGTGAAGACGATGTCACTGTGGAGCTTTATCAACAGCCAGGTAAAGTTGTGGATGTACATTTGCTCATGTGTACTTATATACACCCGAAGCGACCCTACTTTGTCGTCTGAATGCAGGATTTATTGTAACGGGCACTGCACAATCATTACACAAATTAGATACCATTCGCGGAAAATTGAACTGCTTGTGCTCACTCGCCAAAAATTCCTTTTTTTGTATGGATGTACAACTATGCACATCATCCTCTCCTTCCCCCCATTCCCACCAGTTGGAGATCTACAAGAACCCGCTATACACAGAGAGCATCCAGCAGGTCCTGTTCCCGAGTGCCAGTATCCGTAAACTGGAGCTCTGGAAGGGATACTACCTCCGGTGGAACCCCAGAATGAGACCTCAGGTATGGGTCACTGGGTTTAGGGAAAACCTGAAACGAGTCCTTTGCCCTCTGCCATATTTTCTGTGCCGTCATAATTTGCTGTTTACTTGTGTGCTTTGTCTTGCCTTTCTACACTTCGTTGTTGAGACATGAATCACTCAAAAAGTTATGTAGTTACACTGCCACAATAATAATAGAGTGTCTGGTATCTAGCGTACATTTGTAGTGCTGAGTCAAAAATGGGTAAACCAAGAGCGCATGATAGAGTGCAGAGACCAAAGGGCGTGTAGACACCCATTAAGTGGGCAGATTATTTATCCCAAATGGATATTTTATGTTACGTACAATGACAAGTACATGGTACTAATTTGAAGCCCTCTTTATTAATAATTTGATGTGTGTTACCTTACTTTTTGTAGGAAGCAGAGTTTGAACGCTGCAGGCATCTCCAAGTACTGATCAAACTGGTGAGCACTCGTTACATGATGTGCAGCATGATCCTCATGTAATCCTCCACCACCACAGCTGAGAGAAAAGTGCCAGGAACTGCAGGAACAACAACAGAGAGAATCACAAATAGCAACTGTTGTGGCTTAGCAAAACACACACACCTTTTTTTACTGCGCAGTAAATTTTCCCTGATGATCCGGCCTCAGTGCAGAACAGAGGTGTATGCGCATGCGCAAATAAACGTGGCGCCGCCTACTGTAATTATGCTGACCTCAGCACTTCGTTTGCTTGACGTAGTTCACCAGTAGTGATTTCGCTGGTGGGGCTACCGACCTCAGTGCTGGTGATGGATGTTGAGGGAGAAGAAAAGGACCGTGGTAAGAAGCGAGTGAGAACGAAAGGCATCCAGAAGAAGTTACTTGAGCAGGTAGGAGCTTCCAACATATCCTAGAACATGTGCATGCTGTGCACCCCATGCAATTTCGTTTGTAACCGTGTAAGTGACAATCTTTACGTGTATTTCAGGTCGAATTTTACTTCGGTGATGCCAATTTGCAGAGAGACAAGTTTCTGGCCAAGAAAATAAAGGAGCATCCTGATGGATGTATGATACACTTTCGTCTCTGTTTGAGTCATTGTTAAATTCTTTTGTACCTTGTTCCTGTTGTTTCGTAGACTTACTCTTCTCGCTACATTCACGTAACTGGCTGAGTTCTAGATCTAGATAGGGTATGCCTCGTGGCTGAGTTTTTGTACATCCTTACTCTCTGTGGTTCTGTTATGTTATACATGGTGTGTTATTGTGCAGATGTGCCTGTGGAGACCATAGCCAGTTTCAACAGGATGAAGAGTCTCACCTCTGACATCAGTATAGTGGTCCAGGTCATGAAGACTTCCACTCTCTTAGAGGTATGGCTGTACAAATATCATGATTCACTGTCAGCATCAGAAAGTAGTGAAATTATCTGGTTTGAATGCCAAAGCAGGGTTTCATTTAGGGGGTGGTTCCCCTTGATCAAATTTGTCCCCCCCCCTGGAGTTAAAGTAAACCTTTCAATATGCAAAACAAGCCTGACTGGCGTGCAACTGCAGCAAAGAAATACTACAGTACCACACAATATAGTCACTATGCCACCTAAACCACTAGGTACTGTACCATCATAGATGGTTTACGGGAGCTTCTGAAGTAAGATCAAACGGCGATATTGACATAGATTGCTCAGCTAAAGCCAACACACATCATAATACTTCCACAGCTAGGCAGCTTGCAACTTTTTTTTAGTCCAAGTAATGACACCATACAAGTAGTGAAGTGTTATTAAACCTCGCGCGCATGCGCAGCGAGGGTTGCAGTACTTGGGTCTGTGTGTGTGTTACTTTCCATCTCACTTCTCGAGTGTTCGTTCGTCTCGCGAAGGATACCACCTACTTAACAGGCAATGAAGGACAGAAATTTCGAACGGTTTTCTCTGATAACGCTCCGTTGCAAGCTAGATCGCTTCCATCATTGTACGGCTAATGCCTAGTCGGCCATTTTTATCGCTGCGGAAAATGAGCATGAGACCGGGTCCGCTTGCTCGGTGTATCTTGAAGGTGTACAAGAAGTCACAACGAAGGGTGTGTATCGACTCTCGCATACTGTAGTTAGCCCGTGTCAGACTCTCCACGAGCTACTAGCGGGAGACCACGAGTAAACACACACTAATAGTCCAGCCCATCAATTAGCGGTACCGCGCATGTGCAGTTCGCCGAGGGTTTGCACTTTAGTTCTTTTCATATGATTGTGCAAGACTTTTACCTAGGCAGACAGCGTTGTAAGTTGCCCAGTGTGCTATTACCTTTTTCATAGTTATTATGCTGGAAAAAACACTGCTCTAGTCACTAAAGGACCGTGAGATTACACCAGAAGCAATCTCAGAGCTTTGCCCTCCATTATTTTACATACAAATACACATGACCTCGACCAGGTCCGCTTGCTCTGTGTACCTTGAAGGCACAAGAAGTCGCAACGAAGGGCGTGTATCGACTCCCACATGCTATCTACTACTGTAGCTAGACTCTCCACGAGCTACTAGCGAGAGACCACGAGTAAACACATACTACTAATAGCCCAGCGCATCAATTAGCAGTACCGTGCATGCGCAGTTTGCCGAGGTTTTGCACTTTAGTGCTTTTCATTTTTAATTTGCATGTTACGGAGGACTCACTCTAACTGTTGCCAGTTTGGACAATATATGAAATACACACAAGCCAATAGTCCCAGCAGCTCTCCAAGTGATGATGATGTTGTTTATTGTGCAGGTGACAGATGATGAAAAATGGGTTCGAAGGTCAAGGCCACTAACCACTGCAACAGACACGGATGAAAGGACAATCTATGTGGTGAGCTCGTCCAGTATCCACTCCCAGTGTATGAACTATACACACACTCATTCTTGCTCAGCCTGGAATAACTCTTTTAACCATTTCAAAGAAACATACATACATACGTATGTAAATATGCATGCGGTGCCCCTGAAGGAGGCTAAAAAGTACAGTGAAACTTCCTTTTGGAGGTTCTCACTTTTACACGTTAATATTGCTAAATATTAGGCATTGCTGCAGTTCTAATCCACATACAATATAAGATCACAACAAAACATGTTCAAAAAGGTGGTTACACAGTTTCAGTAAGCCATGAACCTAGCAGCGCAAGGACGATAGGATACAGTAAGACATACATGGACCACATGGAGGAGGCCGGTCAAAGGACAAGAAAACAATCTCACCGCCCTACGTGCGACGTCCAACGTAGCCATTGGCCAGTGAAGTTGTAGCTACTGCCGGAGACGTACCTGTGGTAGACTTCCAGTCCTATATGTAAAGGGGTAAGCTTGCCACGCGTAGGTTTACGCAAAGCTGGAGATCCCCTGCACTTACCGCTCTACGGTATAAAACACAACTGGCGTCAGCTGCAAGATCAACGTACAGTATGTATGTAGTACGGGTGCTGATCACAAGGGGTAGGTGTGGTCTAGCGTCGCGGAGCAACGGATTGAAAAGGCGTCTCTCCGCGAGGCTAGGTGTGGTCGTGGAAGTGTGGTTAGCTGTCCGCTTTCAGAGGCAAAATATGTATGTATACATGGCTCTAGTACGTTTGGGACACACAGTTGTCCGCTCTATAGAGTTCGGAGGCATCCTCCCCTCGGAGTTTCGGTATAAATGGGAAGTTCAGTCGGGGGCAGCGGAACTGTCCGCTCTAGGGGCGAGTGTCTGCACTAAGGAGGGTCCACTTTCGAAGTTTTCACTCTATCCTCTTGTGTGTGTCGGTATACATTACTTTCCTTGGTTTACCTGTTGTGGCGATATCCAATCTCAGTCATTCACAGCTTCCTAAACAACACGGCATTCCCCCTGGTACACTCCCACTCCCTGTGCGTTACCTGTCCGCATCTGCTTATTTCTACAATGCTTGGTACAAGCTATAGCTCGGCATACGTCTGCTGTATTGCAGGGTATGGACCCTTTCAAAGTCTCACAGAGTGTTGACATTGACACACTTGGCGGCTACCACGATCACATCTCACATCCTACACATCCTCACATCCTAGCTAAAACACGTTATTTCTGTGCACACGCATGGCAATTGGGATTGACACACCGATTTTAGCATTATTCAAAGTGTTAACATTTTTCACACCAAATGTTTCTTCAGCCATTGTATACACTGTAGCAAATTTTCTCCCAGCATAATTTCACCATTGATAAAGACTGAAGTTTTTAGCCGAAATATTTTGTGTGAAATGGGCTACTGTAATCGTTATATTTTTTCTGGACATACATTTGGATTTGTACTGCACATCTACTGTAATTCGTAGAAGCTCATGTTTATTCACCAAGTTGTTGTACCTGTAACACAGTTCAAATCTTTTTAGGAGCATCTTCCACAATCCTCTGACCAGGACAGTGTTAGAAAGCTGCTGAAGGTGTTTGGGAATATAACTTACATCAGGTATGTAGCACTGACCCTGTGCACTAGTTACATACATAAACACTCTCTGTTAAATGTCATGTGTCATAGTGTCATAGTGTCATTAGCCCTTGACAAACATGTGTATAGGGTTACAATTCTTGATCTGCATCACTGTCTGTCTGCCGCTGTAGCCCAAGAACACCGCTACGCCATGGTAGGCAGTTCTAGTGAAGGTCTTCACGTTGCCAATCGCACACGCTGCGGATTGTTCGAATGCGGACTATAGCGCTCACCCGCTCTCCCCAGGACAGACGCTAGGCCTTTAGGACTACTTCTGTGCGTGTAAAGCGGTAGATGTTTTTCGTCGTCTCCGTCGTGAGACACTGATAATCTCTGGGGGATCCAGGATGTTGTTGGGTGCAGTCAGTGGTACGGAATGACCCACGTACGCAGCACTTATTTCTGGGCTACAAGGTGTGATACACATGTGAAACCTAATGTGCTAATAACTTCTCTCCGCCAGCACAATGTGAAGGTAGTCTGGAATAGCCACACCCTCTCATGAAAGAGTCTGGTCTGCAGTAGTATCATTCACTTGTTCCGGAAGGTTCAAAAAACATAGTTTTTCTGAGCGCACGAGAGATATCAGAATGCAGATGTACACTGTATAGCTTATTAGACTAACAGTGAGGAGTGAAACGGCTGCACTCTGTTCCAATTGTGCTAATTTATGCTGCATGACAAAACAGCTACTGCTCTAGCAGGATTTACATGGATGATGTCCAAGCACTAACACTGCTGGAGCTGCTATAATCCTGCACCAGCACAAAAATTACTCGCCCTGCATATGTAGGCATGTGTGTAGCCTTGCTGTTGAAATTTCCATTTAACCCTGGCAAACAGGTAAAACGTACATGCATTAGTCAACACTCTTGGCGCCGACCACAGCAATCCATTGAATTAAGATATACCATCTATGTAGCTGAATGGGTAGGACCCAGCGTAGAGATCGGTTTGTTAGGTTCTCGAGGCTAGCAGTGACGACAGCTCAATAGTGTTCTCAATCTTATCAATCCCTCACCAGAATCATACATGTTGCCTAGGGCCAAAATACGCTCACTGTGACGTACATGCACCGTATACACAATGCACCATACACAATACAAGGTGATATATAAATGGGTACAGCAATACTCTTTCAAGTGTACAGGATACAACAGAGTCAATACACCAACATGCCTATGTGAAAGCATCATGGGGTTATGACGTACAGGGACAAGTTTCAGTTTGTGAATGAATTACGTAGTACAATGAATAGATAATTTGCAGGCGCGATATGGCGACGATTGGCCGCACCAGAACCGCGCGAGAGCATTACACGCAACGCGCATTGCGCTATACGTGAGGGTATTTCCCGCCGCTCGCGTATGGCTCGTGCTATGCTCGTGTACACAAGGGTTCAGAGCGCCGGTGGTCAGTTCCTGCCCTGCCACCGCTCTGTCTGTAAACGCCATCTCCAACAGCCACGTGCACGTATAAAGTTTGGCAGTGTGGCGGCCTCAGCCAGTCACCACCACGTTAGCGTGATCAGTGATGTGAAAGGTTTAGTATAATTATACAACTCTGGTACATGCACTGCACACTGAGATATGTAGTAGATGATGCAGGCACTGTAGTGACAAAGTAACTTCATAAAAGTAGGAAGTACACTGACAACAAAAACAGTCATGGAGGTGGGAGAAAGTCAAGACGGCGATCATGTGGAATGAAGTTCTTGTACATATGGACCAAGTCCGTAAGCTTTGTATTCCGCTTGATACGTATGAGTACTCCTCTCCAGGAATAACATTTCCTGTTGGTCGACGGCCCATAGCAACCTTGATACTGCTATCACGAATAGACCCTTCATAGCAAACATCGCGTACACGAACATAAGCATTTCCAGTGCTTGGTTTTTCTAACACAAACGAAGTCATGTAGGCTGCGTACACCAGGTAGCTTTGTGTATTTTGACAAAGCATCTCGCCACTTGCGGACGATATGTCATCATCCACGACAACCGAAGCAAAGGATTATACAATGTGGCATAATTCACTAGTTGTGAAAACATCGCTCACAGAGTAAGATTTGGACACCTTTGAGAATAAGACATCTGGTACAAATTTGGTGTGACCAGCAATCATGAAATTGATGCGTACAAAATCAAGCTTCTTGCGTTGAACCATCTCAAGCCCCCAAGCAGTCATGTAGGCATTTTTATTGGTACTAATTGCATTATCTAGGAAAATGTGCAGGCGTTTTATCCAGGGTGGAACTTGCAACAAAAAATGAGTCTTATACGAAACTGTGTGATCTGTATTTTTGGGTGATAGCCTTTCATCAAATAGATAGATAGTAGACGTGTGAGTGGCATGGTTAACAATCCCCAAAAGATCACAACTGAGCTTTTGAAGGTGATATGTAGAAGGTGAAAGACCCCAATTTGGAACAAGCTTATAATCAGCATCCATTGTGGGGTAAAAGTAGATTTGAGATCTGTTAAAGTACGCTCACCATCAGCACTTCGGTTGGTTTTCCCCTCTAACTTTTGTATTTTCCGCCACTGCACTGAACAACGATCGAGCATATCCTTGTAATATTTTGTAGCTTCTTGCTTATGTTCCTCTAGTTCCTGTGTGGATTAGACATTCTAAGGAACGCATTTCCCCGGCAGGCGATGAACCAGTTTGTTTCATTCTATTAAGCTTTGTTTGCTTTGCTCGTATTTTTTCCTTTAGTTTAGCACATGTATCACAATAATCTTGTTTGTGGGGACATATGGCCACTTTCGGACAATGTTTCCGAAGCCAGTTTGAGGCAGACCCATTTGAGCATGTCCCTTTACCAGCATCTCTTTGTAAATTCACCAACTATAGAGCGTCTTACCTTTTGCTGGTAATTTGGAACATTTTTCTTTGGCATTTGAACTGTTCTGAACTTAAAATAATAAGTGGGCCCATGTGCATTAGGCTGTGATACAAAATCGACAAATGCAAGAAAATCACCCAATTTTTTCTGTATTAGAGCTTTTGCCACCTAGCCCATGCCTCTCATAAGGACAGCGTACGTCAACAATTGTGTCACTCTCTAGTGACCTCCACCAAACCAAGATAACGTTCATCGGGCATTACAACACATTCACCTAGCGACTGTTCTTCTACGTCACTCTTTTTCATTTCAATGACTGGCTGAGATGCTAGCCTCCTCTTAACGTTTCGCTGGCATGCTAGACGCTGAGAAGATATTCCAAATGCATTGCAGATACACGGAGAACAATGGAGGTAATTACCCAGTGCATCAAGCATGTTTTCTCTAAGCCACTCATTCTGCTACTTGACGTCCCGATAATGCTGTGTATCCGTTTTTCGAGGGGCAGGGTTTATGTGCTGACGTCGCTTTCAAGCCGAACCACAGTGAGTTAGCTAGTTAGAATCAACGACATACCTGCTCAGAACAGGCCTACACCGCTTACATACACCCTCAGCAGCTTCATCTCGGCTGCTGGCCTCCGCAAGCGCCGCATCCATCGATCGGGTGTGTACATGTGGCTTCTTCGCTCTTCCTTGTAGATAGTGACAACTCTGTTCCTCTCGCCACTCCTTTCTGGTTGAAGGTCGCTCTTTAGGCATCGCTGCGTCGTTACAAATGCCAAGGAACAGTCGGGCAAACCACACAGAGATGCCAAAGGCTAGACGGTAGTGGATACGTAGTAATACTGCACGTGGCTACGCACGCGGTTAGTTCAAAAATAGAACAACAATGACGTAATTAATACTACCTAACACAGGAGGTGTGTGGGATGCAACATACCAGGTTAGAGACTTCTCTTGTTTACGGTTGTTCTTGAATAAGCTTTAACGTTAATTTTCTCAGAAACATTATGACGTGGTAAAAACCTATTTTTACTTGATGCGTTAACATATATTATGCATATGTAACGTGTCACTGTTTCGTTAACATCGTACTTAGTCTAAATTTACAAACATTACTCTATATACGGTAGGGTGACATAATGCACGATATGAGTAACAAATGAAATAATCCAAAAGTAAGTATAATGACAAGTCCAATGTGGCCATATCTGCTATATACATACCCCGGAGTCAGAGAGCTCGCCCCGAGCCAATAGTCATTAAGCGTTGAGGCTGCGACACCTTTCTTGTCCTGGTTCCGGTCTTGGATTCTGATATCTCCTTCCCAATATTCTTCCCCGTGTATGTTCCCTTGGATTGTCCTTCATGATCATTAGTACTCTGAGCAGTTGGGTTTATCTCGATATCCGATCCGCTCTCGTTCAATTGTGACATGGGCGGTGGTAACAGTGGCACTGAAGTCACTGTGCTATTGTCATCAATGTGGCTACTCTGAGGGATAGCTGTTGATTCTGGACTATCATCGGGTCTTTCATTCGCTTGTGTTTCTGTGGATGACATTAACAGTTCAATCCATCTTGGGGAGACCTTCCTGGTCCAGATCGTCGGTTCCTGTACCTGTAGAAGCCTGCTGGAACTCTGGTGGGCATTTGCTCACTCTGAGCTGATGGACTTGGATTGAGGGGATCATCTGGAAAGTAGACTTTCAAGGCTGTGGCTCCCGTATCACTGCTGCCTGTGACCCTATAGAGTCCGTGACATGGTTTGGAAAGTTTGCCATCGGCCCCTGACTCTTCCACACTGCTGTATAGATTCCACTGCTAGCTTCATGGCATGAGGTTCAATACCAACTAATATCTGTAATCTGTGATATCAACTGGTTCAACTCTTCCATTGGTAACAAGGCAGCATCAGTCGGGCTCCGGCAATCAGTCCCAAACTGGAGGAACGAAGGTTTTTCGCCGGTAGACTCATGAGGCGTGTTTTGATATGCCCTGAGGATACCGTGGAGATAGCTATCCCACTGGCTGCAGAATTTGGCCGTATGTTTTCATGTGTCCGGTTAAATCTTTCTGTTGGGCCATTGCACTGGGGGTGGTAGGCAGTTGTGTTGTGCTTCTCGATGCCCAATAGTCGGCAGACATCCTGCATAAGGTGGGACAGTAAATTAGTGCCTCGATCTCAAAGTAACGCTTCAGGAATTCCAAAGATTGGGATGACTTCTTCCACTAAGATTTGTAAAACTCTGGATGTTTTCTGG